TCAACTACCTCGAGTTCCTTGCTATCCAGCGTCAAGGGGTCATCAAGTTGCTGGGTCTTGTAACCACACTGCACATTGAATGTGCGAAGCGCATGATGACCGGACCAATCTAGTTTACTCTTTGTCGACTGGGTCACCCCATCATCGCTAAACACAAGACAATGTCCTCCACCTACTCAGGATCAGATACCTTTTCCTCAGGCAGCATCTCGACACCCTCTTCCTTAGCTTTCGCAAGGGAACACTTCATGATGGAATCCACAACGAACTTGAACAAAAATGGGGAAGTTGGGGAACCTTGGTTAACGCCACTTGTTATTGGGGTGAAATCAGCAATTCACCATGTACTATGATGTGGCCTGTGATGTTCGAGTACAGGGTACGTAAAATGTTCACATTTTTCATGGGAACACCTTTCCGCACAAGTATTTCTGACAGAATGCATTGGTCGAATGAGTGGAACGTATTTAGTGTCGGTCTTCGGTACATGTGACGCTCTTCTAACGTCTGCTACAAATTGAATATGGGATATATAAAACACCGTCACGGAAAGAAACCTACTTGCTCTTCCCTAGTTTTGGATTCCCGTCCCATAATGAGGTCATCAGGCTAGAATTGAGGTCAGTAATTTTGTCACCACCGCAGTTGGGCTAATACCCTTGGGGTTAGCACACTCCGTACGAATGCCCTTCTTGTAGATAGCCACTATAATCGATTCACTCCAGTTCTATGGAATAGTATCTTCCCTCCAAACCTTTTAGAACAGGGGGGTTAGAGCTTTGCAGAGGCCCTCAACCCATCCTTAACTAGTGCGGATTCAAGCGAATACGGACCAGCAGCTCGAAAACGATCGAGAGCTGTGATCGCGTTTCGGACCTCAGCCTCCGATCGAGGTTCTAAGCTAATCGACCATGTCTCATCCTGCACTACCTGAGTACGAAAAAGTCCAGGAGTAAAGGGCCAATTTTCTGATCCACTCAACGAGCCAGCCGACGCTCCTTATTGTGGATCATGGCGCTTGGTTTTCTCGTACCAGGGATGCGGATCAGTTGAAACTGCTCGCAGTAATTGTCTACTGCTCTAGCCTCTTCCATTGTCCAGCCATAGTGGTCTACAAGACTTCATTTTCAACACACAGGCTCCGCTTTAGTTCGCGCCTAATGGTGCGTTTGGTTATATTTTGCTCAGGGCCAGCTTCACCGTGCTCTCTGATATCCAGGGACTGGCGCGGTGAATATTGATAGCGCTCCAAACAGCGGTTCTTAAGTCGTACATGGCGTCCGAGATTATATTCCACCGTAGCTAGATGTTCGTTGGGTGAGAGTGCACGAGTTCGATACGCTTGGCATCCTAGTAAGCTTGCCTGACCGATGGACGGAATTACTTCCCGGTTGCCAGTCGAGGGAGACGCTTTCTGCGCCTCCCGGTAAAGTTCATGGTAAAACGACGTAGTACCGAATCATATATCTGAGTCGACGCAAGTAGTCCAAAACGAACGACAATCCAGGATGGAACCATGCCACTTGCAGTTTATGGCAACTTGATTCATTCGGGTCTATCACTGGCCAACATAGATGGACGCCAAGTGGCACTTCGACCCACACTGTGTTTAACAGCGGTGCTATTAAGAGACATCTGTCGCTCCACACACGGTTGCAACAGACACTTGCCATTTTCCGTCCAGTCGGAGTTTACTCCATACCTTCCATCTTGCTCAGCTTCTGACAGGCTTAGACGACCTACTTGTTCCTTCGTATCCGCTTTAACAACAACGACATCTGAACTGAAAACGCTATGTATCAGTATGTTCAGCTCTTAATGGGTGTCGGTATAGGAAATGGCGGCAACCATAAACTACTAGCGTATAATGCTACTTTGTGAACCACGCTTGGTTTATGTCGTCAATCGGGCTGCACACAAGCGACCGTTCACGGGAACCTAATCAACCACCAAGGAATAAACCTTGAACCTGAGGACGGTGCCCACCCCAACTTGACCAGTGATTGTCGGCTCAGCGTCTTCTGATGCAAATCACCAATAGTGGGAGGACAAAACGAGTGCAGTAGTTAGTTCCACAGTCACTTAAGAGTTTTTACGGCTAGTTTCGGGGACACACACACACCATTTTTAACTCTTACCTGGGGAAACAGGAAACTGAGCTCGTCTGACCTCTCATTATCACCATCATTAGCCATACACATTAGTTGAGGGTGAGCAACACACATCAGCTAGTGTGCCGCAATACAAGAGTGATAGTGAAAGTAAGTTCAAACAGCACGTAATATAATGATACATATAATATTATATATTTGATATGATATCATAATTATAGGGCCTCTAAGGAAGAAGAGGACAGCTAAAAACACAATACAAACGTCATGGGGACCGGCTTTTTGCCATATCAGCAAATTTATCCAACCAAACGTATTCATCGTCCATGGGACCTCAGCCAAGCAGTTGGGATGCACCAATCGACGTCAAGTTCGAAGTGAGTGTTTTCATTCCTCACGACCAAGTTGTCTCTTTGCATTCTCTCCGCCTCTTCCATCCACACCCTGGGAGCGCAAACAACGCACTTTTCGGGATCGGTGTGCTAGCATGTGCAACACGTATCTCAGCCATCGGAGCCTTATGCGTTATCTAATCGTGCTGAGCGTTGCACTCGCTCTTCCTGCCTCAAATACACGACGCCGAACACGCTCATTGCTTACGCTGTGCTCCCACCAGTCATAAGCTAAACTGCGGAGGCAGTGATGCTCGAAGGTACCTAGCGTCTTTATGTCTGTCCATCTCATGGGTTAGGTTTTAAAACCGTGTGTGAGGGTTGAACGGACAGCTGCATTATAAACTCTGCCTTTCCGGGCGAGAATGAGGTCGCGTCAATGTCGCGGGTGGTAAAGATTGGAAAACACGTCGAGCTTTTGCTATGCGTTTCCTGTCCTAATCTTCGATCTAACGGGCGCTAATATGCCTTTTCAGATACATGAATTCCTGAACGACTTCTAACTGATCATCATCATCTTAAAGGACTTTGCATTTCGAGGGGGCAAAGCAAAACCCAAAACGATTGTCAACCAGCGCTACTCCATCCAGTGTTGCTTGGCACATTTGGGAGTTGTCGCAGATTAGGGCAATATCGTCCGCATACTCCAAGTCAAGAAGTCGCTCACCAGGAAGCAGTTACACACCTTTGCGGCACAGTAGCTGAGGTGTTCCCCACCTCTAGCTAACGTGTATGATGATGATGATGATGATGAGTTACACACCTTGCAAGTTGTGTCCAACGAACGCTGTTTCCATGACTTCGTCAGTGGTGGAGTTCCAGTGGTATGTTGACGGCGGGCATCCTTGTTTCTTACCACTGGAGATATTGAAGGACGGCGACAGCTTGTCGTTAGCCCTCACTGAACACACAGTTTCAAAGGGCATATCAATCTACCGAGTCGAAGGCACCTTTGATGACGAGAAACAAGACTACTGTGAATCACCAATGAACATGGCGGTTCTCCAACAATTGAGGCACTGTGAACATGTGGTCGATGCAGCTCCCATTTCGACGAAACCTGATTTGCCCCTCATCTATTTGGCTTTCACGAGTACCAGTCAGTCTGTGGAGAATGACACGCAAGCATTACAATGTCGTTCGTGATGAGTGTTTCCTCTATGTTTACCGCCTTCCGAACAGGAGCCTTCCTTGAAAATTGGGACTGTTATCGAGCGGCTCCAGTCTGTTGGGACAGTATCCTGCTCCTACAGATTCACTAGTATTAATGTAACTCGTCCAAAAATACTGATCCCCGATTTTGAAGAGAGCTGGGGGAATTCTATCTGCCCCTGCGGCCTTATTCAATTTCAACGGTTTGACTATACGTTCGATTTCTGCCCTTGAGGACGGATCCAAGGAGACTGCCCAGGGAGAAGAGTAATCAATGCCCGAAAATAGGTGATAACGCCGGTTGATTAAACCGCTGCAAACGTTCCTACAAGCTATGGATTGTCTGTCCACTCCCGTCATGTATGGTCCCGCTAACACCAGATCTCCTGCTCCTCGTTTCCCGTATCAGACGGGATAACGTTGGTTACTAAGGGTAGCGGCTGTTTCCATCTCAGACGCACTATGAGACCACCAGGATTTGCGATCTATTTTCCGGCTGGCAGGGAGTTGCGCCCTGGGATCTTTGCGAGTCACGATGTGCTCGCTTCCAGCCCGATTATATCGGCCAGTATTCAGAAGTTCCAGATATTACCTACAGACCCAACACTCAGGTTTGCAATTTGTTTGCCACATGAAGACATGCCTCCTCCTAAAAACCTCTGGTGGATGTGCGACCAGTGGCCCTCCTCGCTGTTCATTGGTCGCTTACTCAGGTCAGTTGCCAGCCCACTTTGCTACGTATTTAGAACATCTGGATTTGCCAGCTGGTAGGTTGATCGGACCGATATTACTGTGGGCACCGTATTTTACTACTTGCTTGGACTTCTCATCGATGCTTTTTTGCGTAGGTTTTCATTTCCTTGTTTGTTATATCCACTTGGAATGGCTCACATGTACTTGGATAGAAATGCTTCATTTGGTTATGTCTGTTAGGAAGAGATTTTGTAACGGATTCTCAAAATGTAGCATCTGGTACCTGCTTCTTTAGGCACCGACGGGAAATTGTTTGTTTATCTGTGGCATATGCGCCGTGGGTCCCAAACCATTTACTCCCTCATCATACTTTGAGTCACACTGCTTCACGTACGCACATTTATTTGCGACAATAACATGAGTCGCCTCATATTTTTCTGACCATATGCAGTTCTTCACGCTCTCATATGTCATTCTCTAGTGCAACTGTGCTGTACCCCTAATATCTAACGTTTCCACGTAGTATGCGGTTTGCTACACACTTTCACCCGTGAATGATTACCCCGTAATTTTTTATGGCATTGCTACGCAGTTTCGAGTATGCAACCGTCTATGCAGAAACTATTTCGGTTTTGTTCCGTTTGGCGTTCAGCTTGTCCCGTTGCTCCGCAGTCGCAGTTGGGTTTCCAGGCTAGCAGCGTCAGATGTCATCCGTTCGGTGGTTCGACATTTACCTGAATGGAATCCGATTGTTTCAGAAGCGAAGGAGGAACCCGAGGATGCCAAAGCGGCCTTTTCCGAAGATGGATTCCTCAGCCTGAAGGACCTTCGTCTTGACCATGTGCTCGCTCAAGGTGCTCGACTTTATAGCATGGACGCCCGTGATTTGGATGAGCCCATGGCAAAGGCCAAGCTGCCTCAAGCAGATTCTTCCATTGCGGACAGTGGATTTACCAACTCTTCTGGGGACGAATTCAGGGAGAATGAACCTCCATTGTCGCCTCTCTTAGGTACGGCGATCGATATTCTTTTTCCTGGTCCTTGTTCATTGTATACTTACATGGGTCGTGTCTGCCCGGTACTGTATTCATAGACGCTATTCTAAGTCATTTCTGTATGTCTTTTACCCATCTAAAGGTTGTTTTGTGGGAACAATTACGGCCGTTACTGTTGCTATAGAAATATTATTTTACACTGCTCTCTGCAGATTCTTTGTGTCTTCGCTGTTTCAGTAAACCAACTCCATAGTCACTAATGCTGTCATACTTGATTGGAGATTTGATTTATCTTCGAAACAACGTGCGAAAATCGTTTTTAGTTGAGTACAGCCACAACATCAGAAACACTTATAAAAGAATTATCACGACACGCTTGGGGAAAATGAACAACATTGTGGTGGCTGGCAAGTGGGACTCAAACGCTGTCCCGTGAACAAGGCACAAATTCCTCTGATCCTGTCCAGCAATATACGATCACTTCTCTGGAAATTTGTTGACTTCGCAAACATTTTGCAGCGAAGCGAATTTATGAATGCAGGTATAGTCATGCTACAAGAAAGTGGGCTGCGTTCTTACGTTGATGATGAAATCGTGAATCTCAATGCGTACTACCACATTAGATCCGACCGCCTATAAAGACTACAACATCATGGTGTCATTCCCTACATTAACGAATACCGGTGTAAATCCACTTCAAAACACTCGGAGTACTCAACCACCTCAGTAAGCTGTCAGCTACTGGTGTGCAAACCTAGGTTTGTGAGCAATTTCCTAGCTCTCGTAGTTGGGCACCTGTAGGTAGCTCCGGACACAGAGCTGTTCGAGTTGTAAATGCTTATAGATCACCTTGCCTTAGAGTTGCAACCAAGGTTAGTATGTTCCATCTGTGTTCTCGCCGGTGACTTCAGTAGGCGTAACACAACTTTCATTAACATCATAGTTTTATCTACTTTGGTGCAATTCTTCACCAGACTTGAAACGCATCTAGCTTTAGTTGTTACTAACAAACTCGAACTGTTTTCTACACAAAAGCATGCACCTCTTGGTAATTCTTACTATTGTGTAGTAAACCAATGTCCCAAATTATGCTGTAAGGCCAACTACCTTGTGCTAACAAAAACGCTGTCCAGAGTTGGTAAACGACGGAACCGTTTGGAAGATAAAACTTAAAAGCATCAATCTTTAATTCAGTTGATTTTTCAATCTTCTTTAGTGAAGATATGTCATCTCAATGCGAGCACCTCACAGGCTATATGAACTTCTGTTTTGATCTATGTTACCCCATTAAGACAATTTATCTGCGAAATAACATATTTTAATCTCCACTGCTCAAGCAACTGCGGAGGAAAAAAGAACAGGCTTATAAACATAAGCTAACTGCCCGTGTTGAACGTCTGTCCAAAACTATAAGAGCTGAAATAAAAACCTTAAGTGCTGTGTTCATTCAGACCGTCTTAGGCAACCACAGTTGACGTGACCTATGGAGGCTTCTAGGACAACTCTCTGGAAAGAATTCTTTCAGAGCACGCATCATCAAGAATGTAGGTATATTCAATGTTGAGTTCAGCTTCTTACATCACACACAGACCCTGCCTTCTTTCACCACTATTGAGTCTCCTACTTTACTTGATTCCACATGTGTTTACAAGGAGCCCACAAGGCTGAACTCAAACAAGGCTAGTGGATCGGATGCTCTATCAGTAGTCGCTCTTAAAGAATGCGCAGATATTTTAACAACACTTCTGGCAGAGATCATAAATCGGTGCTTAGCGAGTGGTACCATCCCCGACATTAGGAAAACAGCCAGAATAGCACCGGTACCTAAAAACGAATCTCGGCTAACACCGTGCACCTCCGTGCTGCTAAAAGTATTGTAACAACTACTGATCCCTCGCATCTTCACAGGTAATCATACTGATGATGCTGAACCGTTTGCCTATAAACCAGGGTGCTCTACATTGAATGCTGTTTCTTATCAGGTGCATTCCATTGCGTTAGCGCTGGATAATAAATACAAGAGCACACAGCTCCTATTTCTAGATTACACCAGCGCCTTTGGGGACCTCGACAGACTATTACTACTCAACAATTTGCCCGAAAATTGTGTCCGTCACCTATGCGTGCAGGGTAATGCATAATTACTTCACAAATCGCAACCACTTCACGCAGCTATGCGGCAGAAAGTTTTCTGTACTTCCAGCCAGTTGTGGTGCTTTGCAGGGAGCCATCCTGTTCCACTTTCACCACCTAATTCCAAAGTCTCATTGTTCCATCAAACTTCAGAGGCTGTAAATATGCTGATGAGGTAGTCCTGGGTTGCGTAACGCCAAATCTCGAGGACTCTGAAACTCCAATGAAAACTAGACGGACTAGTGTTTTGGTCAAGATCCCGTTCCCTCTTCCAAGTGTTGTGACTTGACGTTCTGTTTTCCACACTACAACAGACTGCAGTCCCTTGTCCATATCTCCCCTCCCATGATTATGGATGACCAAAACGTATCTCGGGGTCTTTCTATCCCACAATTTATCTTGGTCTACACATATCTTGGAAACATTTAAAAAAAGTTAGGGGGATCTCTTTTTAGGCTTTCGAGCTCAAAATGCCTTTCGTTCCTCGTGCTTTACTTGTCAACTTTAAATGCCTGTATTCTTCCTCACTGCTTATGCTCTCCCTCCTGTTATTTCTCCGGACTTCTTCAAAAGGATTATGTCCTTGTCCGTTCGCTAAAATTTCTTTTTCACTGTTCTGGATTAAGGAAAGAACCGCCCATTGATTGTGTCGTCAACAAACATTTTGATGCATACATCAACTTTTCATCCAGGATTTTAAACGACCCCTCACATCCTCTACATACTATCCTAGCCAGCACTTTATCCAATTTTTCCACACGGTTGAAACATAAAACCTTATATTCTCATACCCCATTGTATTAAAACTCCATCCTGCGCTGTTTATCACCCATCAGGAATGGAGCGCCGCTTTTGTGACCGTAGACTTGATTGATGATACAACTTTTTATTTTGCTGCTGTCAATTTTTATTGTTGCTTTGTCGTGTTACATTCCGCGGTGCTAGTATGAAAAATGCGTCCACACGGGTGAATAAAGCTTATTTTGACGACTTGAACACACCGGTTTGTTATCCTACTTGGTAGCTGTTTCCCATTTTACTTTCTATGCACCATATGGTTCATCACATCTGAGTTCACTTATTTACGCACTTTGAAAGACCATAAGTACTCGAGGGTATCTCTCTTCTCTGACCAGTGTATTTCCGTTTGCCGAACAATTTGGTCTTCCAAATAGTCAGCTCGTGTTGTTCGGTTCGTCGCTTGTAGACCGTGCCCTGGCTTCCATGAAAATGCATTTGCGTGCACTGTTGAGTAGTTTGTGTTTTCTTAATTCAGACAAAAAGCCTTTCCACTTGACACGTGCTAGTACATTTACGAAATTTCTGCGCCACTACCAATTGCTTGTTAGCACTCCCAATCGGTTACCTGTGACGTTTGCACCTTAAACATTTTCAAGTCATTCTTTATTTTTTGTTCGGTTTAGGACTTACTCTCTCCAACTCACACTTTTCGGTTCACTTTCGTTTGCGGGACTTTCATTCTAAGTCTCCTTTTTCAGTGCAACGTCGGGAATTAAACAATCGCCTTGGCTTGGATGAGTCAGATGTTTTGTCTACTGTCCTTGCAACACACTCGGATGTTTCAGTCAATGACTGGATTACTCCCGATGATTTAAAGGCTATCCAACAAACCACAATCGCTCAGCAAGATATTGCCGTAAGTTTTCTTCTTGGAAGCGCCGTCGCTGTCAGTTACTGTTTCTCCTCAATCTGTTTTGGCACTTCTTGTCTTCTGTGGATGATCATTATGAACTTGGCTTTAGCACTACCATCCTGTTCAACGTTTGTTATTTGCTGTCTCAACCTCCACCCGCTGTCAGCCGGTGGCCGAGAGGATTACGTGCCTGCCTTGTAATCCGGAGGTCACCGGCTCGAATGTATGTAGTGGACACCTACCTCGCGGTGTACCCAGCCCACGTGCAACTTTTGGTGACCGCAGGGCAGCAAAGTGGTGGTGCGATGTGTCGGCGTATTGCTGATACATTTTCAGTGTTGTGACCTTTCATCGTTTGTCGGCAGCGGAGCATTTCATGTAGCTGGACGGCTCACTCAGTTACTGTTGCATCTAACTGGGATTTGTAAGCGACACTTGGCTCCGGAGTTTGAGCAACGCGCGGCACTCCCGGGCCATTTATACTCGCAACCGAAAAACGAACAACGGTATTATTCAAGAGGATCTCATAAATCAAATACGACAAACCTTAACAATGTTCGCTGAGTGCAAAAACAAACAAGCCTTCAGAAACTGAACAAACAAGGCGCAAACGACCGTGCTTTTGACTGTATGCACAAAAACCAAAGGTCAGTCAGTATACAGAATCACACTTCGTGGCACCAAAAATAACGTGGGGTGTGTAACGTAGGAGAGATGAGGGTAAGACAATTAGGTACTTGCATATACATAGACAACAACAATGTAAGCTGAGTTGGTTAGGTATTGCAACTTGCAATTGCGGTGTTCGCGAGCGATAATCAAGTATCCTAGCTTAGGCTTTTATCATTCACAAGGTTTTTGACCTTTTCCCCTGATCTAAGAACCCAAACCCGTCGGTATCACATAAAGTCCAGGCACCATGTGCAAAATAAATTAGATCTATCGCACCCATATACAGCGGCTATTGTATGCAAAAGTGTACTATTGTGACATTTCAACGGTACTTTAACGCATCGTTCTACGCTCTTCGTAGCCACATACTTCACTGACGCTTTTAGTAGACCCGAAACTACAAAACACTTCAGTTTTTTTCTGGGTGCAAGCTCCTTCTTTCAAGTTTTCTAGCACTTGTCTGATCTAGGTTCTAATGATAAGAGCTGTTTACTGAATAAATATGTTCGCATGTGAGTCATGAAACTTGGTGTCAGCAATTAAAAGAATGGATGGATCGCGCTATATCACCACTTATAGCACGTAAGTATGGGTTGCCCTATCATGCATTGTCAAGTCGCTTACGTCACTATCTCGCAAGAGGAACGTGGTGTTCGAAATCTACGAAGCTCGAGTGGCATGTTCTCTCAACCGTCATCTACGCCCAAATACTTTCCTGGCTTCTTCATGGCCACTAGTTTGTTAAGTTTATTCAAGTGTGAGTGCTCCCGCTTCCATGATATCATGGAAATGGATCTCATACCTTCGGATTTTCACTGCAGTTATTTCTGCTCGGCTTTGTGTAACCTACTGCTTCTACTTCTAGCGCTTTTGTTATCCAATTGGCGCACGCTGAGCGTTTTGTCTGTGCTTGACCTCATGAGTGCGTGACGTGTTTCTGTCTGTTGTCTTCTAAGTTGTGCGACTTTTCACCTAAAACTGCCATTCATTGGACAAGCATACGTCTTTTTTCCTCGTTTTCATTCTCTCGCCTTTAAGCACGACCCTATTTAATGCTTTTGTGTGAAGCTCGGGCGTTTTTCTTCCGTTCGGTAATCTATCACCCATTGGTTTCAAGATTTTTCCGGAATTGTTTGCAAAAATACGCCAACGTTCGTTGCTTATGATGTCAACGCGATAGTCTTTCAAAGCCGCCTACGCATACACAATGAAACAGTCTATTTGTGCTGGAATTCTCCGGATGCAAGCAACAATGTTGCCATAACGGGTTTTATTGTTTTCCGCTCAATGCGACGCTTTCTCTTTGGGAGTTTGGGCGATCGCATTTCGGTCAGCGAAATGATGCACATCACCAGTAATGTACCTCTTGGATTTCTGCCAATTTAATCATTTCAATGTTGCTCTATCATTGCCTTTCGATCCTTTTATCGCCTAGTTGTTGTGGTCTTCTCCTTCACCATCCTCCGCTTCTTCACCGGAAGCTTACTCTACCACAGAAGTATCCTACTTTTCGCACCTTTCTACCCCCATCCCCGATTCTTTACATTTTTTTTACCTCTAAATTATTAAGTGGTTGAGCTAGCCATTCCATTCCATTCCTCCATCTTCTCCTATCTTTCAAATACTAGCCGGCAGATGGCTGAGTGGTTCAAGTGTCCCCGGCTTGCTGATTCCAGTCTGTTTACATGCCGGTGACATGGCAGTGTCCCTTGCCCGCGCACAACTGGTGGTGTTTGGGTTGCAGCGAGACGCCGGTGTATTCTCGATACTTTGCCGTTAACATACTTCATTTTTCCACCCAGTTACTTCCGTTATGCTCTTCAGGGTTGGGGCCATTGTGAACTTGCGAATTGTTAACCGGCTGACCTCTCAATAACTTTAACTTGTTGTCACTTTTTGTAGGCTTGCATCAGATCTACGTATTTTTCGAATACAGAACGTGGTTCCAAAAGGTGAGTTTCCTCATACTTTAATATGGCCATCACATTTTTTATCAACTTCTATAGGACTTGGCTATTTTCTATCATTTTGTATGAACCGTTATCTGTAACGTAAGGTTTTGCAATAGTTAACCTTTACTCAGCCTCGGAAACTTCTTTTGCCCACTTTCTCTTTCCATCTTTTGTTGCTTTGTACTAGGTCTTCCTCGGGATCCAGTTATCCTGCAGATTCCGTTGGACCTCATCGAAAGCATCACCGACCTGAGCCTCCTGATGAGAACCGATATCCGACCGAAAACGCACGTGCTGCTTTAACAACTGCCCCGGGTTCTTCTGATACTTCTCAGTCTGACAAGAGCTGGGTGTTGGACAATTTTTGTACGCTCCTACTAGGGGATTTGTGGGCATTGCGTTGGGAGACACGCCACGGAGCAGCAACCGGACTGCGAGAGTTGTTGGCCGAAAGTTGCCATACGAAACATTGTGGAAAGCGTTCCGGCATGACTCATAATCAGGTCAGCGAGTTCTGCTCTGCGGATGTTCATGGTACCTCTCGACCTCTGCTGCGTTCCAATGTCTGAGGTTACTACGCAATCATCATCCCGAATCATCCATTAGGTCTAAACTGTTTTCGGCTTCAATTTTTTGTCACATCCGTTTATGAGATGAACCATACTTGTACACTTTTTGGTCCTTTGCATCGCTATTTAATCCATTCAGTTCTAGTGAAGCGTATTCATGTGAGGAACTACCACGCCTATCAAAAACACGTACGATGAGGCGTGTACTTTGGTACCAGTAACACACGGTCTACCTTAACATCTGTCATGTGGATTAACGCATCTCGACCCGAAGCCAGATTCCGACTAATTCTTCTCAATGTTCACTATATCTGTCGCTGTTCACTGACATTCGCGCTTGTGTAACTATCCTTGGCCACGCAATGACAGTAATAAAGACGGCCTATATGGCCTAATTTCCGTTCTCTAAATCCGCCACTCATAGCTACCCCTCTGTTTTTGGTCTGTGTGCATGCACCGCATGCGTCTTTTTCATTAGGGTTGCAACGGAAACTGGTTTCTGTATTTCCGTCGTCGCTTTTCTCCTTTACATCACCTCTCAAAACTCCATCTAGACCCTCACCGCTTGGGCTTTGGTATATGACTATGATTGAGACTTAGTCAAAATCAACTCGAAACTACTTCAGCTAACACTGTCCATCTTCATTGTGTACCGTGTTGGACACACTGTTGCTTCTCTGTCTCATCAAATTCATTAGCGCCTCACTTTTTACATGTCCTTACGAAGGCAATCCTCAATGCCAATTTCACTTTGTGAAAACTTGCGTCTCAACGGGCTGTTGGCAGCATCATTTCCTGGACCAATGGTACTTGGATTTGCATGCCACTTTGATTGCGGACGATCGCATGACGCAGACCCCTTGCCACATTGGGAGCATAGGCGGACCGGAGTGCATCGTCCACATTTACACACATCACAAATCCAGCCGTAACTCATATAAAACTTGGCTGGAAATCACACGGTTGGTAAACATGTTTCCCTCAATCGGTGCACACATTCAACACTCATCGCCCACGGGCAGGTGATCACGCGTGACGGGGCCTCGCGGTAACGACAACAGCCGGCGCCATTTAGTGCGATATGCACAACCACTAGGTTGGCTGCGCACTCCACGAACGTCTTGCTCCTGTGGAATCGGTGCTTGCTCGCCTGTCATGTGTGCCAGGCATTTCTGAGACGGCGATCGCATCGCATCTCTGAAATCGCTCTTTGTCTCCGCGACTGCGCACCCAGCTTTCATAAACAACTGCTGCTATCTATTGGGTCTGTTGTCATGGCGACACGTTCTCATCATTTACATTAGTTGCGATGACATCAGGATTGTTAAGCATGAAGGTTGCGACAACACCCTCGTCGTTATCAGCTACGGAATATACCCCATCAGCCACAGTATCAGTATGGTACAACATGTGATCATGGAAGGCGGTGTTAACTTGATTTTAATTGCCCCAACTTCTCTCCCACATTGGTTATTAGCGTGTTTATCGTTGATCTTCTCCTACACTTCCACTGAGGTGCACTGCGTCCCGTGTATCATGGCGGTAGCACTTGTGCCATGATGATCTCCTATTCTCCATTCATGTCTACCGTTCTCAATCGTCTTTGATGCCCTTTGTGCATCTGCACTCATTTAATGGCGACGTGAATACCGGCTATTTCTCACTATCCCATTCCAACGTCGTCTCATCATGGATCTAACTCGCTCATGTTCTGCTAGAGCACTTAATCGACAGTGCACGATCGATTTTGGTACTCTGGTCGCTTCCATTCAGTTGATACAGCCAAATCACTTTAAGACATGCACCAGTGACATGAATCCACTTCCGCCTCTGTCGCTGCTACATTTCTCTGGAACATATCGCGGATTCACAACATTTGTGATTTCATTACTAGTGCATCGGTTTCAGCAGAACATTTTCCCCTGTGTTGCGCTACTAATGATTAGTATTGTGAAACGAGCAAGCGCGATGAACTCAGCGAATAATGGATCACCGCGGACGACAGGCGCGTAGTGCGCAATTCAGCTGGCCCTGAAAATGGATGGCGCTGGAGCGTTGCACTTATACTATACCGTCACGGCAGCTGAGTCGATAGAACAATGCTCATCGTGGAATCAATTGGCACAAGTGGTGCGCAAATGTGTCCGACTGTTCTATGTTAGAAATGTTATGCCATGTAAACATTCGTTCTACAATACACAACTCGTTCGCACCGCTCCGCCTTCTCCACATTTGGTACCGGGACCATCCGGAGTGGAAGATGAAGATCCCGTGGCCGGAGCCATTTGAAGATGAGGATATAAGGAGATTTCTAGAGCAGTCGGGGTGACGCAAGAACAGGCAAAGCTGCTTGTGCTTATGAGTCTACTCAAGGGACGGGAGAAGGCGATCCTGGAGACGGTAAGAAGAGGTTCAGTCAAGTTGGAATTGGCCCCTGCGGAGGCGCTGATCGTGGGGTTTGACAGTCAGGTCGGCCGCCGCGATGCGATGCGGCGATTCAAGGCTAGGGGCTGATCCGGTCATGTTTGTGATCCATCTCTACGGGATGTTGGATCGGGCGCTGCCAGCTTTGGACGACGACACAAGACAGCAACTGTTAGTGGAGCAGTTTATGGACGGTTTACCTCCGACGATAGCGGATCGATTGCGGCTTGTGAACTCCACCCCGAAAACGGGTGCGGTGGAACTTGGTCGAAAGATAAGTGAGCTGGTACCGGAGCCAGCGACAACATTGAGAACCGAAGACCAAAAAGACAGCATGCGATTAGACAACTTAGAAAGGAAGTTGGAGTAGGTTTCACAAGACATCGGAACACTTCGAATTATCCGTCAGAGGACGCGTCAAATTGGGCGATGCTTCTGGGACAAATTAAGTGGCATTTCCCCTTAAGGCGTACTATATATATGTATATGTGCATATATATATACATATATATATGTATATATATATATATATATATATATATATATTTATATGATTGTGCCCCATGCTGGGGCTGATGTTGCATTCTTGATACTTCTTCACGGCAGTTGGACTAAACCAACTTACACTTAAACTAGGTCTTTTTAAGCTGGATAAATTTCATTCTACTTGGTTTGTTCTGCCTACCTGAATGATCTTCTATTAACTGGCCACGTTGCTTACGCTAATTGCGCTTATCTTCTTTAACTTAGTTGCGTTTGTAGCATTTCTGAGTAACTTGTGGACATTTCTTACTTATCGCGGACTCGTTGCTAACCAACTTTCTTCAAATGGTAATTTAGCGAAGAATAATGCCACCATGTCTGTCTGCATTGTTGGATTTATTTTATTTCAGTTTGTCGTTTAAAGTGAATGGCTCTTGCTTGATATCCCCGGTGTGGCTGCGCTTGATGTGTATGTTGACAAGGTGCCTACCTGTCTATTACCCACTACCTCGTTCATACTGGCTCCAGGAGACAGTTGGTCGTTGCTGGTGGGGACAGGGTGCACGGTCCTTGTGGTCGTGCTAGGCTCAAAGAGCGGTTCCATGCACTCAGTGGGGAGCGGACTACGGTCCAGCCACTGTCTTGTGTGCACTTGATTCCCAAATACAGCGTGCTTGTGTTTGCCTGTGAAGGAGTGTGGGCCGGCTCCGTTGATGAAATTTGGCTCCCATCCGCATGCCTCCCGGTCTTATTGCTTCGGGTTTACACTGGATATGGGGTGTGTGGATGGAGCTGTGGGTGGTGCATCGCAAGCCACCCATGGTCCCTCTGTAGGCGCAGGCGTCCTGTGGCTGGCCACAATGACAGGCAAATCCGAAACCGGATGCCGCCAACCATAGCCGAAGGCTATATGCAGAGCCCCTCAAGCAAACCTCCGAAGCACAACCACCACCGCGTGCGGTTGCCGACCAATGCAACCGTATGCCTTCGCTCAAAGCACTCATCATCGGGTGCTGGAACGTGCGCACACTACCGGACCGGAACTCAAGTGAGCGCCCCGAGCAACGCACTGCACTCGTCACGATGGAACTGGCGCGCTACCACATTGATATTGCGGCGTTCAGTGAGACCCGGTTCGCTGAGGAAGGTAAGTTGCATGAAGCAGGTATTAGCTACACGCCCTACTGGGTGGGCAACGCCGCCTCAGCACCACCTGAACATGGATTCAGATTTGCAATATACGGTAGCCTAGAGGGACAGCTGATGGGTGAACCAACAGCCATCAGCGCGCGACTGACAACTGTTCGCCTACGACTCGGTAGACGTAAGTTCGCCACCTTTATAAGCACGTACGGTCCGACCATGTGTTATCCTGATGACACGCATGATCCGTTCTACACTGAGCTATCCTGCGTGATATGGTCTGTGCCGAGGAGCGACCGACTATTTCTGCTGGGCGATTTCAACTCACGTTAGGTGTAATGCATCGGCGCGGACAGATGTTATCGGTCCACATGGCATTGGTTCAGCGAATGAGAACGGTGACAGGCTGCTCTCACTGTGTTCCACTCACGGCCTGACGATCAAGAACACTCGGTTTGCACTGAGTGCGCACCCACGGAGTGGTCACGCCCACCTGCTCGACTGTGTCATCGTACGTCAGCGTGATATGCGTGAAGTGCGCATGACACGTGTACTGCATGAAGCTGAGTGTGGCACTGATAACAAATTGCTGCGAACCAAACTGTACATATATTTTGGTAAATCCATGTATTACACTCCCGCCGTGAATCGGCGTAAATTTAACATTCTCTCACTCGGTACTGTGGAGAAAGGTATTGAGCTGGTGAAGGCGATGGCTGCGTGACTGTGTGAGGTGGACTGCATAGCCGCAGTGGGCGACCTGTGGCATTACATTCGCGACCAGGTGACAGCTGCTGTCGAAAAGACAATCAGGCGTGCAAACTGTAAGCGGCGTGATTGGTTTGATGAGAACAGTACGATGATTGGCGCATTGGTGTGTGAGA